CTATCTTAGTTTTTTTTTTTTTGTATTTTGAATTTCTATTTGATGCCCGGGTTCTTGTTTTTGTTATTTGCTTGTTGTTTCTGTGAATAGGGGTTTGTCCGTGAATTCGGGGCTTGTGTTTAGGTGGGAACAATGAGCACTGGAAACCTATCAAGCTATTACCATTGGAATTCAATATTGAAAGTTTTTTAAGGTTGAAAATTTCTATCTGCATTTCGCGAGAGAATTTGTTCGAGTCAAGGAACAAATTCTCAGTATTCATCTCATTCAAATCTAAAAGACTAAAAGGAAAATCATATTATGAAGATCTAGAAAGTCCCAAAAGCCCTCTTAATACCCAGAAAAACATAAGTACTCATAAACTAATAGAGGAGATACTTTGCTCCTAATTATTATTATCCTCATCATGACATAGTTTTGAAACCATGGCATTAAAGACGTCAAGAAAGAGCCATAAAGAGAGAAAACGTGTATAGGTGTATGTTTTCTTCCTTGTGCAATCAGTTGAGAGTTCATGGAATTCAAGTTCAAGTGTATTGAACATTTATTATATGGAGAGATGGTAGAAGTATAAAGAAACTCAGTAACTGATGCAGAAATTTTTTTTATTATTAAGGAAAATGAGATAATGTTCATAGGACAAAAAATCTATATTTTGAATTGAAAAAAATCTATGTTTGAATATAAAAATGTTATTTTTATTTAAATATTTAAACGTTGTTACACTTTTAAAAAAATTATGCTTGAAGGCCTTTTAATATATTCGCCTAGGGCCTCTAAATTCTAGGGATCAGCCCTATCTAAGAAAATAAACATATCAGTCATCAAAATAATTAATTAATATTAAATATTTCAAAATAAGGGTTCATTTATATCTTAGCAATGTAAAAATTTATCCTAATATAATGTCGAAATTAAACACGCAAAAGTGGAACGAAAACTTTATCGTTTGATTTTCCGCAAGTGAACGGATTCGTGAACAAGTAATATAGCAGTGTATAGTGTTAATCCCACTTGTACTAAGTATGCATTCGAGTTCAAATTAATAGCAACTTTAATCGAATAGCAAATAGGTTTTGAGTTTTCTATACTGATATCAAAATTATCGATTAAATTAGAAAGCGATTTAACTTATTTTTTTTAAATATGTGAAAGCATTGCTAACATGTTGAATCCCCATTGTTAATCCATTTTTAGCACAACAAATTAAAGTGACAATTTGTAATCATTCTTGTTGGCAATATTCCTCATGTAATTGATAACATCTCTCGATAGTTATCAAAACTATTCACCTCATATGGTCTTCATATCTCTTGATGAAAGATGAGAACGTGATAAATGCATTAAAAGATTTAGAACACATATGAAAACAATGTAAAGTATAGAGATATATATTTATCCTCTATCGGACTTTACAATGTTTATTATTTGTAGCTAAAAGCCTATTATCTCTCTCGATAATAATAGATTCCAATTAATTATCTTAATTAGTAGATAATTAATTTAAAAGTCGGTGAAAACATTAATAAACATCTAAGAACAGCCCCGACCCTAGCCCAAGGCAAACAAGGCCACTGCCTTGGACCTCAAAAATCAAGGGGCCACATAAAAAATAAACAGGCCCAAATCCTGGAAATGGGTGTTAGGACATTAAGACGGAGAGATAGAGAGAGTTGTTTCTCGCCAAACAACAAAAGCTCTGTCCCAGGTTCCCCCAATCCAGCTTTTCCTCTTTTATACCCACAGAGTCACTGCTTTCTTACAATTTGATCATCGCCTTCTCTTCTTCACTTGAGTATTTGCTCTACAGTTCTGTTTTTGCAGTTCTTAGTCCGAAACCAATTCAATCACTGTGAAAGGGAACTGAAAAGGCATTGATAGAGCAAAACCAACAATAGGCGAGGCAAAATCTCATTCAGAATCCGACATTGACTAGAGTTCTTTTTTCAGGTTTCTTCCTATCTTAGTTTTTTTTTTTTTGTACTTTGAATTTCTATTTGATGCCCGGGTTCTTGTTTTTGTTATTTGCTTGTTGTTTCTGTGAATAGGGGTTTGTCCGTGAATTTGGGGCTTGTGTTTAGGTGGGAACAATGAGCAATGGAAACCTATCAAGCTATTACCATTGGAATTCAATATTGAAAGTTTTTTAAGGTTGAAAATTTCTATCTACATTTCGCGAGAGAATTTGTTCGAGTCAAGGAACAAATTCTCAGTATTCATCTCATTCAAATCTAAAAGACTAAAAGGAAAATCATATTATGAAGATCTACAAAGTCCCAAAAGCCCTCTTAATACCCAGAAAAACATAAGTACTCATAAACTAATAGAGGAGATACTTTGCTCCTAATTATTATTATCCTCATCAGGACATAGTTTTGAAACCATGGCATTAAAGACGTCAAGAAAGAGCCATAAAGAGAGAAAACGTGTATAGGTGTATGTTTTCTTCCTTGTGCAATCAGTTGAGAGTTCATGGAATTCAAGTTCAACTGTTCAAGTGTATTGAACATTTATTATATGGAGAGATGGTAGAAGTATAAAGAAACTCAGTAACTGATGCAGAAATTTTTTTAATTATTAAGGAAAATGAGAATAATGTTCATAGGACAAAAAATCTATATTTTGAATTGAAAAAAATCTATGTTTGAATATAAAAATGTTATTTTTATTTAAATATTTAAATGTTGTTACACTTTTAAAAAAATTATGCTTTAAGGCCTTTTAATATATTCGCCTAGGGCCTTTAAATTCTCGGGATCAGCCTTGTCTAAGAAAATAAACATATCAGTCAACAAAATAATTAATTAATATTAAAAATTTCATAATAAGGGTTCGTTTATATCCTAGCAATGTAAAAACCTAGCCTAATATAATGTCGAAATTAAATACGCAAAAGTGGAACAACATCACCAAAATTTGACGAAGCTGTCTTTGCTTTTTCTTCCTGCATGTTTGTGTCTCCTTTTATTTTTGCTTCTGTTTTTTGTGTGTATCTATATAAATATTCTCCTTCTTTCTATATATGCATGTTTATATATAATCTTCTTTTTGTCCTCAAAGCTATCGGCCAATGTATATGTGCAAATCTCCGCCCCTTCAATCTGCTGCCAATGTGTGTGTATAATATAACATCAACATCCGCCAATTCCTCCATTCTTGTGTGCCTGTGCGTGTATATATATTTCCCTTCAATTTGAGCCTTAATTTGCGGCCCATTAATAAATTAATTTTCTCTGAGTCCTCAATTCTTTTAATATAAAGCAATTCAATCCTTGAATCCACTTAATTGTGCAACCAATGCCAATTTAGTTCCGTAATTTGAATTTTGTCATTTTTTGTTACCTCTTATTTCTTTCCTTCAATTCATTTTTCATTCATAAAATTTCACCTATTAAACATAAAATACAACAATTTAGAATATGTTTTGTCAAAAGAACTATTAAATATCGTTATTTTAGGCCCCAAATAAGTGTATAAAATACACTTATCAGGTCTCATATATGTTGACGTGGCATCGGCTATTCAATTGATTGTGTTATTTAGTTAAACAACTTCATACTGGGCCTGGGCTCGATCCATTAACCACTTGGCCTATTTTCATTTCTCTATAGATACATGACTTCACTTCACAAAAGATATGATTTTCTAACCCTAGTCATATCCCCTCCCCTCTCTTGCCCCTCTTTATCTTTCGTCCTATTGTTGATTTGATCGTCGGAATGCAAACAATTACCGTACATTTTTCTCGGTTGACGACATTTGCTTCCTATAGAGTGTTCCAATGTATAGATGATGCCTATATGGGGGGAAGGTGGCCGGAATTCTGTTGACACGTTGTTTGAGGTCAACGGTTATGTTGTCAAGGTATGTTTATATGCAGGGGGGGTTTAGGTAAATGTTTTGTTTTTGAAATTTGTTGATTTTGTCAAATTGTTTAGCATTTGTTTTGTCAAATTCCTGTTGAGAATTGATACGTTGTATCACCTTTTAATTAAAAAGTTACTCACTAATCGTTAATGTTGTGTTAGATAAGAATTACAATGTGAAGAATCGAGAAAGACAAATATTTCGATTCATAGTTTTTGAAACAAACTTTCTTGAATATAGAATATCAAGATTTTCTTTTCTTTTCGGCGGTGACACACAAGCTCATACATTTCACTTTCGACATTGATCAACCCCTTAGACATAGAAGTATGAAAGCGTCAAAACTCCGAGAGAAGCTACATGCTATGTAACTTTTTGTTTCAAAAGTGACATAATGAGATTGCTTTTACTTTTAAAAATGATAATAACGTATAGAAGTTTGTATTCAGGTATGTATTTCAAAAAATTAAAATACAATCCAATATGTGGCTTTTTAATAAGTGAAACGAAGCTTAGCAGGGCCTATGGTGGCATTTTTGGGAAATTCAAGTAGGTTGCTCGTTTCCATTTAAGCAACTATGTATACGAAGAACGATATGTAGTGAGAGGTCGAGGTTAGGGAAAGGAGTCAAGTTGATCACACTCAACGACAGAGAGGTGCAAAATGAACATTTTGTTAAAAAAAAAAGAAAGAAAAAAAAAACCAAATTACTCTCTTTGTGACATTTTATTATAAAAAAGTGACATACTCCAAATAAACTCCATTTCAACACTTTTTCCACAAAATTTAATTTTAATGGAGCTCAGAGGCTAAATCTTATCAAACAAATACCATCCTCAAGTTCGTTGTATGTGCATTCTTCGAGGACAACAAATTTTTCCATCTCTGAGAATAACACATACATACATTATTCTCAAAGTGACACAGCGATATTGCACGTGTGATTTTATAATTAAAAATTGACATGCAATGTCTATCTTAAACGCACAACTTCAATTCATATCCAACACAAAAATAGATTAAGAGTTAAAAGATTTATTTATAAGCACGTTACAAACTCAAGTAAATATGCTCTTTCAAAGAAAGCAAATTACACCACATGGGACCTTTTATTTAAAAAGTACCACAAATACGTCGCTATCTAATGGAAGACAAATATCACATAAGGTGTGACTTTTTAACTAAAATGAAACAAATGTCATTCTATAATACATAACAAATATCAAAACACCACAATAAAGAAATGTCTACAAGTTAAAAATAATACCTAAACATGCTAAAAAATATATGAAAATTTTAAAATAATTGCTATTTGAATTACCATGCTCTTATTTGATCTCTATTTTTTTTTAAAACTCATTTTTCCCCAAATTCATTATCAACTGCACATTTTCTCAATAAAATAATTTTACACGTAAATTCAAAATGTTTCCTTCTTTTTAATCATACACCCTCCAGAAAATCACTATTCCAAAATCAATTCTTTCAAAAAGAAAATGGGGCTCAAACAAACCATGAATAATTCGAAATAGAAATTACTTAAATCCATAAGAAATTAATGAATAAGCATGAAAAAACAATCGAGAACCTCAAAAACATCAAATCCATAATTATTTTATGAATAAATTGAATTGAAATTCAGAAAATTTCATAATAAAAGGCTTCAAAATATAAATGAGCATGTTACCGGGAAAAAAAAAATGAACTTCCAATCTTGATTGTAGATTGAAACTTTAAATTGGAGACGAAATTAATATCAAATTCGAATCATGGAATTCCAATGCGATATAAAGATGTGGAGTTCGATTTTTTGAAGATTTTAAAAAGAAACCATATTTTACTCTGAAATTGAATTAGATGGGAAGGAATTTGTGAGAGTTTTACAATTTTTGGAAGTTGTGGTTCTGATTTTAGTAACAAAAGTTTTTAACACTTACTCTTACTTTTATAACGTAAGGGTTGGAGCCGCTTGATAAATTGAGTATTATTTTACTTATGATTAATGGACACCGTGTTCTTTGATAAGTAAGAGGGTCATAATTTTGAATTCTTAAACACGTTAATACACATGTAAACGTTACAAGAACTTTGTACCAAGTATAACTCGATAGGCTCCTCAAGTTGAGCAATTTCTACAAGTAGCTATATTGAGCTTTCATATTTGAATCGAGGTGCTTTTTACATTCTTATCGTGAACCTGGCTTCGAGTTGAGGAAGAATGAAGGATAAGAAGGTGTTAATTAGCAATAGTTAACAAATTATGAAAAAATTCAAGATGTTCGTATCGATGTACTATGAGTGCACGACATTCTATAGACTTGAAAATGCATGTAGTCCTGTAGCAATTAACGATGTAGCTAAATGCCAACTTAACACGAGGCACTTACTCAATGGGTTTTTAATTGGTATGTGAACTTACATAATGTTAAGTGTAACAATCGTGAGAAACATGCTCTATTATTGCATAAAAAGAACAAATTGATTCCCGCAAGTAATTTTTGAAAAATCGGGTTTAAAATAAATTCAGAGAAGAAAACAAGAGCATTTTGGTTTTAATTAGGTCATAATTCGACAAATATTATAAATCAATTTTGTTTATTTAAATAATATTTTGACTAAAATTTACAGTGCGTAATTTTATTGTAAATAAATAATTTTTTTTATGAAAATTTGTATTCCCGTGATAATATAAGTTGACAGTGCAATAATAATGAAAGTCTAGGGATTAATTTATTTATTTTTAAAGATTGCAGATCACCTCATTGATAGAGTGGAGACCGATAGTGCAATTTCCCCCAAAAGTTAATTGGGAAAATAATTATAAATTCGAATTATGGTTTATTCCATAAAATTGTTTACGCAATACGCAGCGTCCTTTTTCTTTATGAATAATTATAATTACAATAATTATATTACAATAATTATTTGTATTCTCCATCGCCACTCTCTCTCCTCTGTCTTTCTCCTGCTCTCACTCCACTCTCTCTCTCTCCCTCTGCGAACTCGCTGAAGATTTTCAATTTAAGTTCTTCAATCGCGCATCGACTCTTGCTTGCTGGTTTTTCAGCATTTAGGGGCGGAGGAACAATAAGTATCAAAGGCCCCAATTTCTTCGAATCTGAAAAGTGAGTGATATGGTGTTTGCTTGTGAGATGTGATTAGTTGAGAACTTGAGGTAAGTTTTTTACTAGCATTTTCTTATATACTGCGATTACTGACAGTTATTAATGTTTTTATGCTGAATTTTTTGCCAACTACCTTTAGATCTATTGTGGAACGGTGCGTTTTTGAGTAGTTGAGATAGAAGTTTAATACTTTACTTATTTAATGAGATATCAGTAGTATTAGTAGATAATTTACGAATAAAATAAATTGCAAGAAAAGAAATCAACTCTGGTTGTTATCTTTGGAAAGGGGGAAAGATTTTATTTATTATTATTATTATTATTTGTTTTCTGTTTTTAACTTGATTTTTTTGATTTTGGCGGAATTGAAGTTTCTGTAAGTTACATGGTCATGATTCAGGAGTAATGGAATTAATGGTGAATCTATTCAAATAGGGCTAAATAAAGAGACCGAATCATGGTGGGTAATAATGCATTATTTTAGCTACCGGGTTTTACCACCATCCCCTCAAAGAAGAAAAAAAAAATAAGGAAGGACCTTCCTAGAGCAGGTGAATTTGAATGTATCTTCCCAATCTTTTATGGTGGCAACATATATTACACGTCATTATTTTGATGAGTGGAATCATGTTTCAAGATGGAATTTTGAACTCCGGTCTTTCACTAACAGAAACATAAGTTATTGGCAGGATGGTTGTTATAAAATATGTTAATTGCTTCATGGAAATGGAGTGCATACTTGTTATGCAGCATTTTTACTTTAATCTCGTTTTGATAATTTGTTTTCACTATTGAAATAGTGTCTTACCTGTGATCTTATATTTCAGAAAAGATGCCTTCATGGTGGGGGAAGTCATCTTCAAAGGATGCAAAAAAGAAAACATCTAAAGAGAGTTTTATCGACACGTTAAATAGGAAGTTTAGGACTCCTGAAATTAAATCTTCCAATAGATCAGGGGGATCTAGAAGACATTCTAGTGACACAGTTTCAGAGAAAGGGTCTCAGTCACGAGCTGAGTCAAGGTCAGGATCACCTTCCAAGCATGTTGCAAGATGTCAAAGTTTTGCAGAAAGGTCTCAGGCCCAACCACTTCCCGTGCCAGATCTGCGCCCTGCAAATGTAAGGAATACAGATTCTGGAATGGGTGATGTAGCAAAACCGAAATCACAAAGAATCTCCAAGCCATCATTGTTTCTACCTCTCCCAAGACCTGCGTGCATCAGACACAGACTGGACACTACTGACTTGGATGGTGAAGTAGGTGCTTCAATCTCTAGCGAATGCTCCATCGAAAGTGATGATCCAGCTGACTCACGCCAGCGTATTCCACTGGCATCTGACTATGAAATTGGGAGTCGAACTGCTACAGGCAGCCCTTCGAGGTGAGTGGAGTTCCCAAATTAAAGATCTGTAAGTAGTTTGTTGTCAGTCACGTTTTGATTATGCATTTATTATATTTACTTCGTCTTACTAACGTCATGATTCCTTTTCCCCACTTTTTTTCCTTAAGCATTTATGTGAAGGATCAGTCTGCTGTTGCACCAGTAATCTCAAGCGAGTCAGCTGTTCCAGTGAATCTCTCATCCAATAAAAATGTCTTCTCTTCAACTCCTACAAGAAGACAGCTGAACAGTCAAGTTCCAAATCTACAAGTCCCCCATCATGGTGCCTTTTGCAGCGCTCCAGATAGCTCAATGTCAAGTCCCTCTCGAAGTCCGATGAGAGCTTCCCGTTATGAGCTAGTTACAAGTTCTGCTTTTACTACTGGAAAGCATTATCCAGATCTTCTATTTCTTGGTTCTGGTCCTTGCTCCAGTCCAGGCTCAGGTCAGACCTCTGGGCACAATTCAATGGGAGGAGATATGTCAGGACAATTATTTTTGCAACCTAGTAGAGGAAGCCCAGAATGTTCTCCAAATCCTAGTCCGAGAATGACAAGCCCTGGCCCTAGTTCCAGAATTCACAGTGGTGCTGTTACACCACTTCATCCAAGAGCTGGCGGGGGACACACTGAATCGCAGACTAGTTGGCCTGATGATACAAAACAACAAACTCACCGCCTACCCCTTCCTCCTTTAACAAGTTCCAATTCCTCAATGTTTTCTCATTCGAATTCAGCTGCAACATCACCTTCTGTACCGCGAAGTCCTGGACGAGTAGAAAGTCTTACAAGCCCTGGCTCACGTTGGAAAAAGGGAAAATTGCTTGGTAGAGGCACATTTGGGCATGTTTATGTTGGTTTTAATAGGTGCGGGAATCAGTTTAGTGCGTGCCACGTTCCTTGATCTTTATATGCTATGGAAAACTCATCATTTGCGTTTCTTTTATACTTTTAGATGAAAGGTTTTTGTTTGTATAACATGTCTTTGAAATTCTTAATCCATCTGTACCATTTATTAAATTATTTAACATATTTATTTTGTGTCTATGTGTTAGTTTTTTAATATTTTCATTTCCTAAAGTTGATTACTGATTTTTATATTACACATATGGCCTTACGATGCTTCAGTGAAACTGGCGAAATGTGTGCTATGAAGGAGGTGACATTATTCTCAGATGATGCGAAGTCGAAGGAAAGTGCAAAGCAGTTGGGACAAGTGAGTTTCAAATCCATTTGAAGCATGAAGAGGTTTTTTATTGATTGCAGTTTTCATTCAGTTTTATCTATTCATGCCTATCACATTCATATTGGTTTCTTACAGGAGATTACATTATTGAGTCGTTTAAGGCATCCAAATATTGTGCAGTATTATGGATCTGAAACGGTCAGTTGTATTCTTGCATTCATCGTTACTCCTCATATATTGATGCAGCTTCATATATAAACCTTCTAATCTCAAATTTGAGTCAACAAATGTCTTATTCCATATTTGGTTCAGAAAGTACTTGCAGTTGACTTAGTAGGCACAATTCTTTAATGTATTATGAAATTTGGGAAATAAACCATTAACTGATATCTATATGAATTATCATGTTGACAACGTTGGTCATAACTCTCTTCGTGTAAAGTGTATCTGGCTGCTAAATATGCATGAAGTTATTTTCCTTGATTTTCCCTTGCTGCTGAAATTATTTTGCTTGATTAGGTGGATGATAAATTGTATATCTATTTGGAATATGTGTCTGGTGGTTCCATCCATAAGCTTCTACAAGAGTACGGAAAATTGGGAGAATCAGCTATCCGTAGTTATACTCTACAAATTTTGTGTGGGCTTGACTATTTGCATGCCAAAAATACTGTTCATAGGTGAATTTGATTTCCTTTATTTGGATTAGTTTTCGGCTTCAAACATGGTTGTAAACCATACTTCATTTCTAAACACATCGTCTTGCACTTGTATTGTTTATATACTGCAGGGATATTAAGGGGGCTAATATCCTCGTGGATCCTAATGGTCGTGTCAAGTTGGCTGACTTTGGCATGGCAAAGCATGTAAGTGTGACTTTTTCTTTGAATTTCCTGCAGTAGGTTATTAATGGTCAAAAGATGAACAGTCCAATTCAAAGGGCTTACCCTCTGCAAAAGAAAACCCAAAAGAGTTACGTAATGGGCACTGCTAACAAACTTCCAAATGCAAGGAAAAATGGAAGCAACACAGATTGATAAGCCTCTCTTTGAACTGTTAGCAGATCATGTGAATCCTAGAGAGACTGTAATAAGGAAAATCAACAAGTAAAATGGCTATTCAGTGTTAATTTAGGAAATATAAGTGCTGTTTTGACTTCAAAATTAGCAGTGTAACTCTATAAGACCAAGTTTTTTACTTTATTTGCTATTCCTGTCACCTTAGCTTAATGAACTCTAATTTTTCAAGTCTATTACGCATCTTAATATTAATGTTCTTAGGAATATTTCTCTGCTGTTATTTTATTTTCTCATCAAATAGAATTTTCATCCTACGGCGGTATTAGCATTTATATGCATTTTTCTGTTTTGCAGATTACTGGACAAACCTGTCCATTATCATTCAAGGGCAGTCCTTATTGGATGGCACCTGAGGTTGGACAATTTTTCTTATCCGCGACCATAGCACGTTATGGTTTTCTTTCCAGTTCTATGATTGCATTTCTTTCCTGCTTTTTTAGGTGATAAGGAATTCGAAAGGGTGTAGCCTTGCTGTCGATATATGGAGTCTTGGATGCACCGTCTTGGAGATGGCCTTATCGAAGCCTCCTTGGAGCCAGTATGAAGGGGTCAGTAATTTGAACTCTGATTTTCTGTAAAATTTATCATTTCTAGTTTGTTAGTTAGTTAGTGTGTTGTGTATCTGATGAAGGTGCCAGTGTTTTACTTTTACTGTCATCTAGAACATATTGTTGATAGAATGTTAGCTTGCAACAATTTATAATTGGAATATGTTCTCTGGACCTTGTTTATCTGATACTTTGTTATCTGGCCTGAAGGTTGCTGCCATGTTCAAGATTGGAAATAGTAAAGAACTCCCAACAATTCCAGAACACCTTTCGGATGAAGGCAAGGATTTTGTGAGGCTGTGCCTGCAGCGGAATCCTTTTCATCGTCCTACTGCTGCTCAGCTTTTGGATCACCCTTTTGTGAAAAGTGCTGTGCCCCCAGAAAACTCTAAATTGGGATCTACACCTTCAGATCCACCCGTGGTAACAAATGCTGTAAAATCTGCGGTATTGTCATTTTTTATGTCACGTCTTCATTGTGCTGATGGTAAAGGCGATCTATTTTTGTCACCTGGATCAATATTGAGTACTTTTTCAGGCCAATGTTCTAGCTAGTTGAAACATTATTTTGGAAGTACGAAAATTAAATTGTTATATGACCCCTCAGCAACTTCATTGTTGGGTGTAAAGGAAAAATCCTGGCTCTGTAGTTTCAGGATTCCAATCTTCTCCTTTCGAGCAAGCAATTTCTGTTTCGAACTTACAAAACCTTAAGAAAGAGAGAGAGAGAGAGAGAGAGCCTGAAATGATTGGTATACAGAATCAGGCTATGAAGCCTTTTCTCATCAATGTCAAGAATTGTTTTTGATGCATTGTTTATGTGCAACATGTGAAGTTCAAGTTGAACCTTCATGCGTTGCCTTGTATATTTTGTTACATCGTTGTCGAAGGCTTTTAGGTGGACGGGAGTATTCTTGCTTGTCATTTGAGACATTTTGGCAACTTGTATATTTACTGCCACTTCATTTTTCAAATTACTTACAGGGCATTGGACACACGAGAAGTCTTCAACTCTTGGATTCAGAAAGACTTGCTATCCACTCATCCAGAGTATCAAAATCTAATTTTCATTCCAGGTGCTTCTCTCACTCTCTCTAGTACATACACCCCCACCCTTTCTTCAACTGAGAGAAATTAGACGAAGTCTTTGTTATAACATTTCTAAGATATAGTGAAAGATGAAGACAGTGGTATTTGGCTTTGTTCACGGACTATATTCTTCATATTTCCAGCGATATTTATATTCCAAGGAACGTATCGTGCCCCGTCTCTCCAATTGGGAGTCCTCTTCTGCATGCAAGGTCACCTCAGTACCTGAATGGGAGGATGTCTCCATCGCCCATATCTAGCCCCCTCACAACTTCTGGCTCATCTACACCTCTCACCAGTGGGACTGGCACCATCCCGTTTCATCTTCTTAATCAATCTATATTATCACAAGATATTTTTTCTAACTTGCCCAGGGCTCCGACCAGTCCCCGTGTCAATAACCCACCCTACTGGGATCCCGATATTTTTCGGACGGCACAATCAGGTTCTAATGCTTTTCGGGAACTGACAATGAGTGATAAAGATGCTCCAGGAAATCAGTTTGGAATGACTGCCAATGGAGAAATGCACGACAGACAATCGGTCTTGGCTGATCGTGTATCTCAGCAACTCCTAAGAGATCCCGTTAAGCTGAATCCATCTTTTGATCTGAATCCTTCCTCTCCATTGCCAAACCACCGCATGGATGGAGTCTAACTTGTTTTGCTGTTGCTGTTGAGGATGCCGATCGAGGAAGCTTGCTTACGAAGTCACGTTCCTTGTGTAACAAGGGACGAAAACATTAGGCACCTACTACATATGTGTGGCTGCTTCTTCCGCAATCAAGAGATTGGGTTTTGCTAATAGTTTACTGCACACTGAGTCGACTTAAAGTTGAAATGAAAAATTAATTTGCCTGTGTATAGCTGATCCTGCACTGAATCTTTGTTCTGGAAAATGTATATCAATTTTATTGCACAGAAGAGAAGAGAAGAAAAGAGCAAGGCTGGACAATAAGCAGGTAAAGCTATTTTTCTTCCAATCTGCAACTGCTGTACAGAGAATGTAATGATATTTACATCTGTGCTAATGAAACAATTTTTCTTGCTTTTCATCTCTTTCATTTCTGTAATGGCAATTCAGTACTGAGTACTCCATGCTTCGAGACTACTAGAAATTTTGTGGAACTGAGCATGTAGAACCCAGGATGGACAGTATGATTCGCTAGGCAGAATAGTCGCGCTGAAACGCAGGTTCTTCGACAGGACTATTCCATTGAACAATATTACAGAATTGTCTCTAGAGAAACACAGGTTGAAGTTTGGATTAAAAATATTGCTCTGGGTTAAAAAATTGTCATTTATTATGCTACGAAGGGCTGAAACGCGCCTAGGAATTGATACTAAATCTGTTTTTCCTCGGATACATCATACTACAGCTGGTTTGGTTTGGCTAAAAATCAATTTTTTAGTAAACTTGATGGAAGCTAATGAAATAATCTTACCCGTCGTACTTCTACTAAAAAGATATTTAACCCGCTTATTGTGTGAATTAAAATTTTTCATAAAAATTGATAAAATATATATATGATGTGATATGTATTTGAAAAGCTGTGAATCTCATTAAAATTAATTGTTAATTTTAACTTAATCCTTGAAAATTAAAATTAAAATTTTAATCTAAAAGGAAGTTAATAATTAAATTTAACCACGTCCCTTAATATACGAAACTGGAGATTACTTCTAAACTTACAAATAAATTTTCTAGCTTAGCCAAACATGCTCTTAAAAAAGTGTGCTTGAAGAGGTTAACTGACAGACACACACACACACACACACAAAAAGAAAAAAAAAAGAAATTCAATTTACAATTACAAACACCAAAGTTTAGTCCTTAATCTTGCGGTGAGTAATATATTTTCAAGGCCTTTGGGAGAAAAACAGGGAGCAAAAATCCAAACAAATTGAAACACCAATAAGCCAAGTTAGCCACCGCAAGACCCTTCCCGATTTGCACCCTCCTCCTTGAACTGCCGCCGGCCTCCACCTTGGAGATTTCGATACTCAGCCACTCCACGACGTTGAAAATCCTCCTCGAATTGTAGAAAATCAGGACGAAAATCCGAATAGGCAACGAAAAACCACCGGCAGCGGCCAGCTCCTCCATGAAAACTTGACTGGCTAATAGGAAAACATGTGGAGCAGCAGCCTCAATACCCACCTTGTCACCTTCTAAGATGCCGTCAAAAATATATGCTATCGGAAAAAATAATCCGATTAGAGCTCCGACGAACACGTATAGGCTTAGGAACTTGTTCTTTTCGGCGAAAACCGGAGGCTCCTTGCTGGAGGGAGGTGGCGGCGGAAATGCAAATTTTGATATGAAATACATGTAAATTATGGAAAAGATGACGAAAGCCAAGTCTTCAATGCTTACCAAGCCGCTGGCTGAGACGACGATGATTACGGCAAGGGCATTAATCTGCCGGAAACTGAAGAAACCGCCGCGAGATGGTGCTTTT